GACGCCTACCGAGCGCACATTTTAAAAATATTTTTGTGATGTATAGGGTGTCCCAAAAGCTCTAAAGGTATCAAAGTTGCGTTTTTTTAAATGGAATGTCTTGTATATTAATTCATTTTTGGATTCGCTGAACAAAATAAGTGTCTGTTTTAATACGGTTTATAATACCTAAATCTTAAGGTTTTTTAAATAATACGAATTTTATCAAAATCTAATCTAATTTTCACGTGTCAAATACTTTAGAAGTATTTAAGTTATGTAAGCGTAATTTATAGTGAAGTGTAACAAGATATAATAATTTATAACCCAATGATAATAAACTTACCATGTTATACAGGGTGTCCACAAATTTAAAGTAATCAAATAAGAACTTTAAGTGGCTCTAACTTGATTAATTAAAACACAACCCCATATTTTTTAACTTACCAGGAAGTGCAATTTTTAATTACCTATCGAATGGTATTAGGATGTTAATAGCTAAGTTTTTGCCTTTTTACAAAATACGTCAAATAGTCGTTCTGTGCCGTTTAATAATAATATATGCCGCAAACGTCCGTGCCGTTTAGCGTGAATAACCCTGTATAACGTACGCTTGGCTCTTATGAACATTTCACATTCATACGATAAATAGATATATTTATCCACCTAGTTGCAATTAGCAGAGCATGATTCGACGCGACAGCGATATTCAGTAGGCCGCAAATCGGGTCGGTGCGGAGCCTTTGCACCGTTGGTCGGGATTCCCCTGGAAAATACGTCGATGACCGGAAGAATATCGCATAAAAAAGGACCATGGTAGAAACATTAATTATTTTTATGCTTCGTGGGTATGGTGACAAACCGCACGATCGGCTATATGGGCGTTGGTGAGTTAGAAATGCGGTACAGCAGGATTATCGCTTAATTAGGATGGGAACTGCCCGATATAATTAGAGCAGAGGAGGCACATGAACCGGTGCATCAAGCCAATTTTTTCCTCAGCAAAATTTTTCAAAATTGGCAGGTTTTCGGGTTATCAACCAACATCTTCAACGGTGTGTTGCTCGAGTGAATACAACTCGTTTTTGAATTGATTTTGAAAGGTGTTCAAAACAACCTCAATAGCTTAGAACGGAATGGCGGCAGTTTTGAAATCGTAGTAGATTTAAAATATTCCAAATTTAAAAAAAACTTAAACCACAAAGATATGAAAACCTGCAGTTTTTTCATAAATAACATCAAGCTAGCTACTCATTAAAAATAATCAATTAACCACCAGCAACTTCACCGTCAACATTGACAGATCTCAAATCATCAAAATCGTCCCCTAAACTGCAAACATGCAAAGTAAAATCGACTCCACCACAAAATACCCAGCAAAAGAGTGTTTAACTCCTCGAGGCCATGGTGGAGGTGATGGAGTTCGCTCAAACATTTCAGCAATAAAACGAGTGCCCGTTTCTTCAGCGAAAAAGTTCAGTGCTCGAGCATCGACGGACGAGTCGCTGAAACTCAAACTGGAACACGAGCTCAGCGAAATAGGTTCTGAGCAGAAGAAGCCGATTGCAGCCACTCCGATCCGACATCAGAAATGCCCGCTGAAGTCCGCCTCAGTCGCGGAGATTACCCCCACCAAGACGAAACGGAGGTATTGTAGCTATATGTGAGATCGGCTGGTAGAGGATTTTCGAAAAGTTAAGAATCCGATTTTGGATGAAATAGGAGTGAAACGTTTCGAAAACTGTCTAAAACTCACGGAAATTGATGGGTTTTAATGACAATTTTGCCCAAAAAAAACAACTTAAGTAATTGCGAAACTTGCAATTTACACATTTACTTGTTCTATACCGCAATTTTTCGCTTTTTGAACCTTTTTTTCCATTGATGACATCAAATTCTAATTCCAAATCAAAATTCATTCCTGGGTTTCAGTCATTTATTGTCTCTATTTATCAATTAAAATACGTTTCGGTGTATTTTTCCACCATCATCA